ACAAGAGGTCTCCACTAGACTGACTACACGCCATAATTCGGTACAGTAACACATGTTATATGCAGCTGTAACTTTGTCACCTGTCAGTATATACAGTATAACATAAGCGTCCTGGTTTTGTCGTATAAATTGCCTCCGACACCACGTTTTTACAATTTTATAGCATCATAAATTATATCCTTCAATTTTTATACATGGTCTTTGATACTCCTCCAACTGTTACATCCAGGTGTTTCTGTAAGAGCCTTGATAATACTAATTCTTCTGTACTGTACTGTACCTGGGTGCCATATAATCTAATGCTACGAGATATCCTGAAGCTTATATCCTTACACTATCATAGGTTATAAATCTATTACTTTAAGTAGATGAGGCACTGCTGTAACCACTACACCCTTGTACTATGGTGAAAGTTAACCACACTTTACATGTCATTATCACATCCTGCATTATAACAGTGTCCTGAGTCATAGCCCTGCCGCTATTGTATTCTGTCTGGTATCACAGGCTAGCCATTCATCAGCTGTGAGCCTAACCAATAGCAAGGTGTCATGGGAGTTCTCAAATTCACAGTACTGTGGATTTCATTTCTTACAGTTCTGCATCATTATTAAAGACTGTGACAACCACTTTTTCTAGACCTGTATTACGATCTATTTTCTAAGTTTATAAAAAAAAGCATTCATTACAGTTACATTCACAGCATAAATTCTCAACCCATATTCTTCACTTTAGTTCAGTAATCTGTTGGCGAGTTTTGTGATGTTTATTCATTATCTGCCATAAGAGAGGTAAAGTTTCTCCTGTGTACTTAATATTTTGCTTTACAGCGCCAACCACGGGTATAGACAAGCTGCTCGGGGAAACAGGCTGGTCTCAGAGGACATGGGTTTGTGACTGTACAATATATGGGGTAAAAGAACAGCAATGTTTCCTACCCTACCAGTTCCTTAAACCCAAAGATCACTGTAGCGATGTTTGGGTTACTGAGGCATAAGTGGGAAGGAAACACCGTCTTCGATGCGTCAACAACTGATTATAAGCAGATTCAAGAGACTGTGTTTACGTTCATTATATAGCAAGAAAAAATTACCCACAGCAATTACAATTACTCTTGACCTACCCAAATTAAGTTGAGGTTGACCTAGACCATAATCTTAGTCGCGTTGTGGTTATACAAGTATACCAGGCTTTATTACCCGGCTTGCTTATTGCACGGCGGGTACTGTTGTTGGTCTTGTCTTGTCTGTCTGTTGTTCTCAATATAACTAAAGAACAGCTTTGCCGGTTTACACCACATTTAGAAGGTTTCATCAAGGTGAGACACGGTCCACATGCTAAACTTCTGGAGCAAATCGCCTTGAAAACTGACCCAAGTGTTGTCATGGTAATAGTGTTTTTAAGGACTTAAAGAAATCGACGAGACTTTTCTGGGCATAAGGAGATGATGACACGGCACAGTTTCCAGCGGTGACTACATTAATTTACATCAACAACGCCATTTATAAGATATTTACCCCGTCAGGCATGGTACCGGTTCGCGGGCCGGGTCTGCATCACCTGGGTGGTTTGAATTACCTGTAGAAGTATAGGTTAAGGGCTGTCATAGTTGGTGTTGTGTCCACGTCTAAATATAGTGGCACCTTCATCAGCATAACTCCACGCCTAACATGGAGCGACGGCAGGATTCTTTTCACTCACTGTTACCACGCCGGGTAATGCGTCTTCATCAACAAGTACAGAAGGCAGCTATACCTGACACCCGAAAAGCGATTAGTGAAAACCAAGCAGAAACTGTCTCAATATGACTCCCAGATTGTCTTATATATACTGTGTGTGTGTGTGACTTGGTGTATTTGTTCTTTTCTCTCTCTCTCTCTCTCCACCACACAATACATTACTCAACTTGTAAGCTCAAGCATCTTCAGACAAAATCAAATCCTGAGACTGAGCAGCTACACCCCAGCACCAGTTAGTCAGTCAGTTAGTCAGCCAGTTAGTCAGTCAGTCAGTCTGCAGTGTGTTGAAGATGCTGGTTGGTTATCACGACAGGAAAATGGTATTCCCCAGTGCTCGAGCAGCTGTGTTGCAGCTCACTCACTCCTGCAACACTCATGTCTTAAGTACTGTTATACTCAGCGGGGAATCCCTCACAGAAGGTGTAAATAGACACACACACTTCGGAGGCATCATCTACAAATTCAAGAATATTAATGAAAAACTAATGAATAAGGGCTAGACATAAGTGTTTCAGATAGGGCTGGTCAGGGCTCTCTCAGGGAGTGTCAATCAGTCAGTCAGGGTGGGAGTCAGGACTGGTATTCATGGAGCTGACTGACGCATTAAACTAGTAAGCAAATTTATCAAAAAACACAGACATAATAGTTCCATCATTGTTTGTCTTTCAAACGGAGGCCAGCAGGTAACACCTCACACCACTTTAATTCTATCCGTCCGTCAGTCAGGTCAGGCGGAGGTGGTGAGGGAGAAGGAGGGAGGAGGTGGTGGGGACGAAGAGGAGGTAGTGAGAGAGGTCATAGTGTGGAGGTACTGTAGAGAGAAACACTACCACCGGCCTCTCACTACCATTAACTAAATACAAAAGTGACTAGGAATCGATCATCAGCTGAGCGTGGCCCGATCAGTCAATCAGTCAGGTATAGTATTCATAAAGCTACCCGACGCAACTCAGTTCTGATGACAATTTCTGAACACAAACCTCAAGGGGCTCAGTAAACACATACATCAAGGGGCTCAGTAAACACATACATCAAGGGGCTCAGTAAACACATACATCAAGGGGCTCAGTAAACACATACATCAAGGGGCTCAGTAAACACATACATCAAGGGGCTCAGTAAACACATACATCAAGAGGCTCAGTAAACACATACATCAAGGGTCTCAATAAACACATACATCAAGGGGCTCAGTAAACACATACATCAAGGGTCTCAATAAACACATACATCAAGGGTCTCAATAAAACAAACCCCTCAAGGGGCCTTCCAGTAAACACAAAACCTCAAGGCTCAGTAAACACATACATCAAGGGCTCAGTAAACACATACATCAAGGGTCTCACAAACACATACATCAAGGCCCCAATAAACACATACATCAAGGGCTCAGTAAAACATACATCAAGGGCTCAGTAAACACATACATCAAGGCCCAGTAAACACATACATCAAGGGTCTCAATAAACACAAACCTCAAGGGGCTCAGTAAACACAAACCTCAAGGCTCAGTAAACACATACATCAAGGCTCAGTAAACACATACATCAAGGGTCTCAGTAAACACATACATCAAGGGGCTCAGTAAACACATACATCAAGGGGCTCAGTAAACACATACATCAAGGGGCTCAGTAAACACATACATCAAGGGGCTCAGTAAACACATACATCAAGAGGCTCAATAAACACATACATCAAGGGGCTCAGTAAACACATACATCAAGGGTCTCAATAAACACATACATCAAGGGGCTCAGTAAACACATACATCAAGGGGCTCAGTAAACACATACATCAAGGGGCTCAGTAAACACATACATCAAGGGGCTCAATAATCAACTTGCAGAAAATGGCTATCTTAGGAATATATTATCAGGTAACTCATAATATAAAACTTAATATATATTTTCGTTATATACATTAGAGTTTTATGAAGAGAAAAAACCCATTTCCTGGAGACACAAGTGATGAAGCACCAGGATAGGATGAAGACAACGGCGTGATGTGGACTTTTTTATATAAGAGGAAATCCCAGGTCGCCAGGCAGACTTACCCGCTCTTGTAATTCTACGCTTGTACAATGTTGCTGTTTTATTGTTTATTGTGTGTTCGTGTTTGTGTGTGTGTGTGTGTGTGTGTGTGTGTGTGTGTGTGTGTGTGTGTATGTGTGTATGTGTGTGTGTGTGTGTATAGTGGGAAGTTAATACTCGTGTTTATTTTTCACGACAAATATCATCCCATCATTTCTGGTTCTCAATCAAGTTAAAAGCCACGTATCTAATCCAGATGTTTTGAACACAACAACATAGTTACCATCGATTAACACGTCTACAACGGTTTCTAAAGTGTCGAAATTTTAGCATACGAGTACAGGTGCAATGAATATGTGTCAACACGGATACCTGGAGAGATACACCTGCGCCCAACAGATTTCACCCACCTTTGGAAATCTGATGACCTTGAGCCGTCTGGTCAGCACACCTGCGCCTATGTTAATACCCCAAGATTTTAGTCAATAAATTTAGTAATGGTGTAGCCTGAACTCGCCTTGACTACTGGTGCTGTGTGTAAAACTTGCCGCCAGCACAGCCATCAAGGTCCAGGCATTGTCTTAACCCTTTGAGTCCCGGAGGGTTAAACCATCGTCATCAAAAGCTTAAACCAATGTCATTAAAGGGTTAAACCATTGTCATCAAAGGGTTACACTATCATTCTCAAAGGTGTTAAACCATCGTCATCAAAGGGTTACGCCATCATTCTCAAAAGGATTAAACCATAATACTCAAAAGGTTAAACCATCGTCCTCACTGGGTTAAACAATGCTCCCTGGTTACAAACCAGTGTTTGAAACTTTATGAACCACTGTTTCAAATATTCTGAACCAATGCTTGAAAACCAAAATCAGTGGTCTGAAATCCGGTCTCAAATAAAAACGTCATACTACTTTATACTTTTATAAGTGACTTATTATTTAAGGCTTACAGAGAACCTCACAAACTTGATCTACTTATACTTAAATGGTGAAAACGTCTCTTCACTTATACTAGAAAATCCTTGAAAATTATTCTAATTATTACATAAAGTGATTTGTTTAGGTATTACCTTTGTTATGGTGTACCTCTTGAGTATAAGTACCTGACAGACTTACCTAAAGTAATCGGATAAAAGTAGGGAATAATAATGTGCTCTTGTTGACCTTTTCCTTGAATTTCGTTACCATTAAGTTTATTTTTTTATCAGGAAAATATTACTCGACAGTATTCATATTAGAATTGAAATTTTATTAAATGTGTAAGGTTTGGTAGCCATTTACAGCTGTGTGGACTGAAGGTGCCCCGGGCGCGAATCAGCAACCCTTAGGACAGGAGGCGAGAACTGTACCCACGAAAAACACTTATTGACACTGGTTACAAATGAGTTGTCTACTTACAGTAAATAAATCAATAACTTAAGAGTGTTGAAAATGCATCCTAAAGCAATAGACTAGAGTTAAGAGTTATATATTATATGAGGTATTTGTATAGACACACCCTAACCTTGGTGACAACGGCAGGATTAAATTTTACGGCCGACCTGTAAATAGTGGCAGCCTGCAGTATATCAAAGACCTGCCGTAGGAGCAACCTAAAGCTAGTGATAGTGGTGACCTCAGGTAGTGACAGTGGTGACCTACAGGTAGTGATAGTGGTGACATACAGGTAGTGATAGAGGTGACCTCAGGTAGTGATAGTGGTGACCTACAGGTAGTGATAGTGGTGACATACAGGTAGTGATAGTGGTGACCTCAGGTAGTGATAGTGGTGACCTCAGGTAGTGATAGTGGTGACCTACAGGTAAACAGTGGTGACACACAGGTAGTGATAGTGGTGACTTGCGGCTGGAGATTACAATCGATGGCCTTCCGTTGGTGACAGATCTAGACAGTGTGAGGTTGGGGGTAGCAGTGGACGGCCTCAAGTTGTAGTCAGTTGTGGTAGACCCGTAGTTGACGATACAGTAACTATCGACAGACTTACCGCTGGAGATAGCTGTCGACGGCTGTCAGTTGGAGCGCACAGAGACAAGGAGTTATCAACAGACTCGTTTTAAAGGTTTCTAAGACCTGCTATTGGAGGTAGAGACGAATTTTATCCCACCAGTAACACACGACTCAACGCCCCATCTTCACGCCCAACCTACCACCTCGCACGACAACGCAATCTTGATTTACAGATTGAGATGGAGATGACCTGTTCGTCGGAGATATAAGTGGCCTACAAATAAAGGGATATTGATGGCCTGCAGTTAGATACAGTGACAACCTGCAGGTCACTACAGTCACAACAACCTGCACCTTAGCTATTTACTCGACACATTAGACCAAAAAGTGTACAGATCACTCCTGACAGAAAATTTCATGGCACTGAAACACTTAAACAAGTCACTGTCGTCGTCGGAATTATTCTGAGAACTTCTTGGCTGGGGGCTATCCAGGTAAGGTCGCAGCTGTAGGAGCATCAACAGGTAGGTCGCCACCAACCCCATGAGCGTCACGAAGGTACGACCGCACAACCTGAGTGTGTATAGGATGTCTAGCGTGACGTCCATAGTGTGATGTATTACAACGAAAGCAAAAATATTACAATAATACTAAATTAGGTTAATAATTCGAACAATATTAAAATCAGTAATATTACCTGAACTAAAATAATACTAACATTAGTGAAATATATATTAATAATACTAATAATACCAAATAAATACTACAACTAAAATAATTTAATAATAAAGTTTAACAAAACTGAAGGTAAGAACAAAGTGATCGAATCAGGGGGATAAAATGTTAGTAGGGTTGACGTTAGTTTCCTTTACACGTCTACAGCATAACTGAGGCAAGAGTTTCCAGTGAGTCCGCCTAGAGTGGTTGCAACATGGAAAAACTGATCTTCATTTAGGAAAAAAATAGAGATCCAAGATTGACTTCAACATTCTAAATCAGTAGCATAATCTAATTTGTCATCAGTACGGAGGTGAACAGAGCCTGAGGTGAGCATATCAGGGAGGAGGTGATGAAGAAGAAGGTATACAGGAGGGATGTGGCTGAGAGACGCACATCAAGGTGACGACAGACAACCGTGGCCGACATGGTTTCGAGAAGTTGACCTCTGACCTTTGGGGAGAGTTAAAGGAAGAAGACACAGGAGAACGAGACTGACCTGGAGGTTCCAAAGATTTCGACACTGAAAGGTTTGGCCTCCATCCTGCAGAGGAGGTTGTGGAGGTACAGGTGCTCCACGCTCCCTGCTACCATGGCCTCTCTTGCCACACCATCTCCGGTCTGTTCTTTGGTCTTTGTATCCCGTGCAGTTTCCGGTGAGTCTTCTTGTTCGGTTTGGGTCCTGGAGTGAGTCTTGGTCCCTAGGTGGTCCTTAAGAGGAGTGGTAGGTGGGTGGCAGAGGGCCTCACGGACGACCTCCAGCACGCCCTCCTGCTGCTGACCAAACAGTAAGTAATGAGTGCTCTTATACACACACACACAGCACCACATTTACACCTGGAATTTCACAAGTTTAAAGATATTCATATAAATCCCTTTATTAAAATCCTTGTTGACATAACTTCTAGTCACACACACGAGGTTGACACATTATCCAGTCTCTCTCTGTCACACAGCTCGGCCATCCCCAGGTAAGACCCATCAATGAGAGTCAAATGTCAACATAAATTAGAACTATCAATGGAAATTTGATCCACAGATTAAGATCAAAATCAATGAGTTCACCAACTGTATTAAAAAAATGTTCGGCGTTCAAGTGGGAAACATCAATTGAACACAACTTGTAGCCATAAAAACAGTCACCACACAGACAAATGTACGATAGCACTGTGAGTATGTCACCCCAGAGCCTTCCTAGTCAGGGGTATAACAATAGCCACGTCTGGGGTGTCGGGTCTCGTCGACAGGGTGGGTCGGCTGACACATGGTACAAGACACGTCGGCGGCTATTTCTCCTTCATGTGGCGTCCAGGGCCGCCTAGGTTTCCAGGTTCCATGAGTCCTGGAACTTGTCAACCTTCAAGTCTCTGCTCAAGAGTTGTGGCCGCTTTCCACGAGTTTCTCCCGTGGCCTCCTGTATGGGGGTCTTCTTGTTTACCTTTTTGTTGTATTTACCTGTTACCTGTTGTATTTAC